TCCCCCCGAATCTGCGCGTACGTCGTACGGACCGCCGAAGCGTGCGCGCGGATGTGCGCTTAGCTAGGTTTCTACTCCGACCACTCGTGCTTAAATCCGGTGATTTTTTCCCTCTAGCGCGCTGTTGTTCGCTGCCTCTTATGCGTAGTCCAAGTTGGGTCTGTCGTCTGATGCTCCAACTGATTGATGGTGCTCTGCTCTGCTCTGTCTGTCTGTGTGTCGTCCGTGCGCAGCGCTCGGGTTTAGAGGGGGTTTCTGTCCAAGTATCATGGAACCGCAACTGACATGTGCTTAGCAACGCAAATTCAATGCCTTTTGCTTTGCTATAAGTGATGATTGCCATTTCTGGGCTGTATTAACATGGTTGTTGCACAGTTGCACACTTGGTGATATAATGGATACATGTCGGTTAGGAAATTACAAGGTTGCTGTTGGTGCCATATGTGACTGATTCGGGCTAGCTAGTTGTCATACATGATTCTTATGTTGAGTTACTGACTGAGTGTAGGTGTTCACTGCTGTTGACAAGAATGGCTCACTAATTTTTTATGACCATGATGTGGATCATTTCTCAAGTCCTTTTTAGAGGGCTGTAGCATCATCTTGCCTGTCTCATTCCAGAAAACTCTAGGTAATACGCGGCATAACCTTTAAATGGCTAGCTGTTGGGAGATGGTAGGCGTGCAACTTATGTTGTACCCTAATGAGAGAGATACATGCCACGATGTTGTACCATATCGTCGCTGAAGTTATAACTTGTATCGCTATGAAAAATATAGTCTCTACGGTTGACTGCGGTAACCTCCTTGTGATATGAGCAGCTTAAGCCCTGTATTGATCATCGCTTCTTCTTCTGGTATTATGAAATTGCAACTGACTCTGCTAGCATTAATTACATTCTGTGCTCAAGGAACTGTTGGAGAATCTTTTGCTAGCTATAATCATATCTTTCTCATTTATGAATTATGACCCCATTTGTGTTCAGGTTGTGACCATTCCCTGCAACTTCAAATCACTTGATCACTATCTCGTATCATTTCGTGTGCCTCTGATTGAAGAAACAAGGTCAGATCTATGCTCACGCCTTCAACTCATCAGTGAAGCACCCTCGTCAAAAATACGTTCCATGGAGGTAGCAGGGAAATCGGGATTATACTTTATGGATGTGGACTTTTGGGATAATGATGCTGGTTTTTCTACTGGGAATTATACTATGAAGAATGGTGACATAATTATTTTGTCTAGCATAAAACCTGAATCTGCAGAGGACTTAAGCCACCATGGTGTGACATACTGCTTGGCAATGGTTACTGAGGTTTCTATGGATGATGAATACCAGAAGAGCTTCAGAGTCAAAGTTGCAAATAATATTGGTTTGGAAGAAGACTTAAACAAACTCAAGCATGCAATATTTCTCAACAATATCACGACAAGCATGCGGATATGGAAAGCACTTATCTTCGATAGGCACATGGATAATAATTTTACAGTAATCAAGTCCCTCTTAGCCCCCACAAATCTGGTAATATGACATGAATACTTGCGTTTTAGGAGTTTTACTAGCTATTTCATTATCATTATAAATTGGCATGGGACCTAACTTTTTGACTTCCTCTTTGTTGGCTCTGTTGCAGGGTGAGGATGTTTGTGGTGTCTGTATTAAACGGGATGAGGGATGTTTGGCTTCTTTCACAGAGCAACTACTTTCGATTAAGCTTAATCGATCACAGGTGGATGCTATTGAATCTGTCATCTCAGCTGTACAATGTGGGCATGTGAACCTCATGAAGCTTATATGGGGTCCACCAGCTACTGGAAAGACCGAGACGGTTAGCGCTTTATTGTGGGTTTTGGCGTGTTTGAAATGCAGAACTCTTACTTGTGCTCCCACTAATGTTGCTGTCGTTGGAGTTTGCACTCGTTTCCTTCAAAAATTGAAGGATTTCAATGAGCACATTGATGAAAATGGTCTACCTTTTTCTCTTGGAGATATCTTGCTATTTGGGAGCAGGTCGAACATGGACATCACCGATGATCTTCAGGAAGTTTTCTTGGATTTTCGTGTCGACAAACTTGTTGAATGCTTTTCATCGTCGTCAGGATGGAACTACAGAATAGCTTCAATGGTATCCATTTTAGAAGACTGCGCTTCACGGTATGATATGCTTCTCGAGGATGATGGCAAAATTGATCCAGTGTGCTTTCTGGACTTCACAAAGAAGCAATTTGATGCGACAGCAATAGCTCTGAAAAGATGCATAATGAATTTGTGGGCTCATCTTCCTGGAAGGTGCTTTTCTCATGATAGTGTCATAAATATATCTATGTTGCTTAAGATGCTGGAAAAATTAGGCGTCCTTCTTAGTGACATAGAGTTGACCGATGAGGGCTTGAAAAGGGGCCTTGGTTGTCTGTCAACTGCAAACTCTGTTTGTGCAAAGCCTATATCTTCTATTGAGAAGGAACTGGATGAAGCAAGGTACACATGCATCAAGTTGCTTAAAGATCTGCTACACTTGCTTAACTTACCCACTGGAGTAGACAAAAACTGGGTCAAGAACTACTGCATATGTAATGCAACACTTCTTTTCTGTACCACCTCTAGCTCTTATCAGTTACATCACATGGATATTGCACCCCTCGATGTATTAATTGTTGATGAGGCTGCTCAAGTGCGGGAGTGTGAATTGGTGATCTCACTACGGCTACATTGGCTAAAATATGTTTTTTTGGTCGGGGATGACTGTCAGCTGAGTGCGATGGTTAAAAGCAAAGTAAGGTTTTGCTCACCCACTTTATATTGTTTGTTTCATTTCTTAGTCACTGGTGCATTTATCAACAAGATAAAATTGTGATACTGAAATGACCCAACACTTTTTTCTTGAAAAAATTGTGAAGGTCGTATCTTCCTTTTATGTTCCGTTTGTTATTGATCTGTTTTTGGTAGTCCTAATTCTTACCTTTAATTGTTTGTCTCCAGGTATGTAAAGAAGCTGGATTTGGAACAAGTCTTTTTAAGAGATTGGTTAAGCTAAAATTTGAAAAACATTTGCTGAATATACAGTATCGCATGAATCCTTGTATCAGCTTATTTCCAAATGCTCAATTTTATGAGAGGAAGATGTTAGATGGTTCCAATGTCCTGTCTTCTAGCTATAATAAGGATTTCACATGCCTCCCTTTTGGCAGCTACACGTTAATAAATGTCACTGATGGAAGGGAAGACAAAGAGGGCACAGGAAACAGTCGGAGAAACATGGTTGAAGTTGCTATTGTTTTGCACCTAATCCATACCATCTTTAAATGTATGTCTAAGCTGAAATATATCATTTGCTTAACCTTAATATCATTTGTAGTTATTAATTTTTTTATGAAGTTACTTGGCTAGTATAACATGGTACCCACAAAAAAAAAAGGCTAATATAACATGGGATATTTTGAAGCATACACGGTCTTCCTTTCTTGTACTGCATACATTTTTATTTTAAAAAAGGAGTACATTTAGTAGATAACATGAAGGCTTAAATACTATGCTCTATTAGAGTTGTTATCCACTGCATGGTCCCACTTAAGCAACTTTTTATTATTATCAGAGTGGAAAACAGTGACATTTCAATGACTTGGTGATGCAAAATCAACTTAAGTTTGCTGAAGAAAATTCTTTCAGTAGCCTTGACCAAAATTTGACCACTTAAGATTTTTCTGCAGCTTGGAAAAAGACAGGCCAAGGTTTCAGCATCGGAGTGGTCTCTCCATATAATGCTCAAGTTGATGCAATTAAAACTAGACTTGGCAAAAAATACGATAAATGTGATGGCTTTCATGTGCGGGTGAAGTCAATTGAGGGTTTCCAAGGAGAAGAGGATGATATAATAATACTATCAACTGTTAGATCCAATGGGACAGGAGTTCTTGGATTTCTTGCTGATAACCAAAGAACAAATGTTGCTCTTACTAGAGCAAGGTGTGCATCAATTTTTTTGCGGTCCCTTGTTTTTATTAATGTTCAAAGTATGTAAGACTGGTGATAAAGTTCTGATGTTTTATTTCATGCAGGCACTGTCTTTGGATTGTTGGGAATGCTCATACACTGTATAAAAGTGGGACCGAATGGACAGACCTTGTTGCTGATGCAGAAAGACGTAAATGTGTTTTCAGTGCCACTAATGACGCAACCATCTGTAGGTTGGTTTTGCAAGTAAAGCAAGAGCTTGATGAACTTGATGATCTTCTTAATGCTGATTCGGTGGTTTTCAGCAATACCAGATGGAAGGTAAGTACCATGGTTTTAGCCAGTTTGGCTTTAAACATACTTTCATATTTTCTAATATGTCACTGCACTTAATTTACCCAGAATGCGAACCATATGTATGTACGTGTGTCTTGTGAGACTCATTCTTGCTGTCAGGGAGTTAGGGTTTACTGAATATACACTTACTTTATAGTGTGATTTTGTGTGTGTTCATGAATACACATGTCTCACTTTCTGGAATCATGCATGTAGTTTGCTTCTCTCTGCTAGGCTGTTTCCTCTGTATGATGCTTTCAGGGACATGTCCTACTTCGTACGATGCTTTGTCAGTTATATCGTCCTTCTCTATAGAGTACATACCATCTTGTGAACCTCCTAGTTTTCTTGAAGAACATACTGTTCTTTCATTTTTCTCAGGTTGCGTTTTTTGTATTTGTAAATTCAACAGGTCATTCTTAGCGACGAGTTTAGGAAGTCCTTCACCAAACTCAAATCACCACAGCTCAGGAGGGAAATACTCCAAAAGCTTATCAAACTTGGAGCTGGTTGGAGGACAACAGTTAAGAACCTTGATATACCAGGTGTTTCTCATCTTGCAAAAGTATACAAGGTTAGGGACCTGTATCTCATATGGAGTATTGACATGGAGAAAATCGAATGAAAGTATTTCCAGATAATAAAAATTTGGGACCTACTGTCACAGCAAAATGTTGCAAGAACTGTTCAACGTCTCGAGAATTTGTTTTCCATGTACACGGATGATTACCTGGATCACTGCAGGAGAGTGCAGACACAGGGGTATGAGTACTTTGTTGTTAATAGGCTATACTCTGGTCTCTTCGATTTTCCATTATCCTTTGATGCTTGATCAATTTCTTTTTAAATATCGTGCCTAGAAATGAAATGCATGTGACATTCTTCTAATTTTTGCCCTCCTTTTTGTCGTGGATAGCAGGAAACTGGAAGTTCCTATGGTTTGGGATGTTGGACATGCTATTATTCGCTATAACATGGATTGTAAAGTTGATGCTCATGAAGAGCACGGTCTCGTTGATACATCATATGCCGTGGAAAATTCAAAAGTAAGCGAAAGCTTCTTGCTGATGAAATTCTACTCTTTATCATCTGGAATGGCAAAGCATTTGCTGACAGCTACTGATGGGTCTGAAATCAACATCCCCTTTGAACTGAGTGATGAAGAGCAGGTGATTATCCAATTCCCGCTCACTAGTTTTATACTTGGGAGGTCGGGCACCGGAAAAACCACTGTATTGACAATGAAAATGATTCAAAAAGAGCAACTGTCATTGATCGCATCCCAAGGTCTAAATTTGGACGGAGCTGATTTGTCTGCGGCAGATGACAATAAACTTATGCCACTAAAGAATGTAGGAGAATGTTCTGTGAAACAAATATTTATCACTGTGAGCCCAAAGTTATGTTCAGCCATAAAAGATTACATCTACAGACTTAAAAGGTAATCAGACCCCTGTTCAAAAGTACTACATATGTTTACACCATTTTGGAAATGATTTTGATACATCCATTTAAAGTGGACATAAATGTGTGCATGAGCTGGCTCAACTTTTTTCACTGTACCTTTAAGGGTCATTTGAAGTGCATTTTCTCTTTAAGATACGATTTTGTGGATGGGCGTATAGCCCAGTGGCAAGAGCGTGGCTGTGTGCCTTGGCAGACCAAAGTTCGATTCCTGTCGGCGGAATTTATTTCATGGATTAAAGCTTGATGTACCACACCTTCTTAACTAAAAAATGCCACGGATCTCCTCCCCCATTGGTCTAGTTTTTTTTAAGATATGATTTTCGGAATTATAAAAAACAGCACAAGTACAGAGACCCCTGGATTTGTAAAGGGAAAGACAAATCATGACTACCACTCGCAGGCCATGCTGGGCTGGGCACTCACATGACTAAAAAAAGTTTAGCCATGCTTGGGGCTCTTTTATGAAAACATATATTGCAAGCCAGTTGATTTCTGTGAAGGATATTCATTTTGCTTATTTTGTGTTTTTATTTATTTCAACCCTACATAGATTTGGCACTGGTGATGTCTCTGATCAGCCAAGCATTCTTCGCATGCATGACGTCATGGATGACCTGGAAGAGTTTACAGAAATTCCTGACAATTTTTGTGATCTACCTCATGAGCACTATCCTCTTACTATTACATACCGTAAGTTTCTGATGATGCTTGATGGAACATGCCGGACATCATTTTTTGATGTATTTTATGGTGAAATGAAGTCTAGCTTTGAGAGAGGCCATTCAAGATCTCGTGCAGTGCAAACTTTTATTGAATTGAATGAAGTTACCTACGAAAAATTTGCTACTTTCTACTGGTCTCGTTTTAATAAAGACCTGACGAAGAAATTTGATGCGTCCACTGTTTTCACTGAAATAGTCTCTCACATTAAGGGCACATATCAAGCATGTGGGCCTTATACTGGAAAACTGGGAAGACAAGATTATGTGATGCTCTCAGATAAAAGAATTTCATCTTTGAACAAAGAGAAAAGAAATAAAATTTATGATATATTCCTTGAATATGAAAGTATGAAATGCTCTGCCAGGGAGTTTGATTTGTCCGATTTTGTCAGTAGTCTTCATGCTAGTCTTGCATCTGATGGCTACAATGGAGATTTGGTGGATTTTGTTTACATAGATGAGGTACAGGATCTGACCATGACACAAATAGCACTTCTTAAGTATGTCTGCAGGAACATCAAGGAAGGCTTCCTTTTTGCTGGTGACACTGCACAGACTATAGCAAGGGGTATCGATTTCAGGTTTGAAGATATCCGTTCACTTTTTTATACTGCATTCCTCACAGAAACTGAGGCGTCTAAACTAGGACTTAAACATGGGGAGAAATCCCATCTCTCTGATATGTTCCAATTGTCTCAAAATTTCCGCACACATTGTGGCATCCTCCGTATGGCACAGAGTATCATGAGGCTTCTGTGCTCCTTTTTCCCATCAAGTGTTGACAAGCTTAATCCAGAGACTGGACTGGTATACGGAGAAGCTCCTGTGCTGCTGGAGTCTGATAACGATGAAAACGCTATTATGAGAATTTTTGGAGAAAACAAAAGTCAACATGGTAATCTGCATGGGTTTGGCGCTGATCAAGTCATATTAGTTCGTGATGATGCCACCAAAAAACAAATTATTGATGTTGTTGGTAAACAAGCTCTTGTTCTGACTATTGTTGAATGTAAGGGCCTTGAGTTTCAGGTATGGGCCTATAAATTCAGTTTCGCCTTTGTTCATTTTGCAAAATATTTCAATTGTAAAATCGCTGTTTCAGAATGTTCAGTGTACTTACTTCAGAGGTATTGTGTAGGATGTGCTGTTGTACAACTTTTTTGGTTCGTCACCTTTAAGAAATAAATGGAGGGTTCTGTATGGCTACATGAAACATAAAGCTATTATAGCACACTCCGAGGAGACCTCTCACCCAGGTTTTGACAGAAGCAAGCATTATCTACTCTGTTCAGAGCTGAAGCAACTCTATGTTGCAATCACACGCACTAGGCAAAGATTGTGGATATGCGAAAATACAGATGATTACTGCCGACCAATGTTTGACTACTGGAAGAAATTGTGTCTTGTAGAAGTTAGATTACTTGATTCTTCCCTCATTCAGGCCATGCAAACAGGGAGCAGCATTGATGATTGGAGGCTACGGGGAACCAAGGTTAGTGATCTTTACTTGTTTGGTCTGCAAAGCTAATTTTAGTTTATCATGCTATGCATTATGTGCCTAGTGAGTGTTCTTAATCTTGTTAAATTCATGGGGTTTTTGTTTCTCACAATTGTTGTATGCACACGTATTTTTTGTTAGGCGGGTCATGGCCACTTATAGTTTTTCTGTACTTGTCTTTTACCATTGTTATTCCATGTCACAAGTTCTCTCTTTTTTTGTAGTTATTCAATGAGGGGCAATTCGAGATGGCTACTATGTGTTTCGAAAAGGCTGGTGATGCACACAGAGAGAAGTGGGCAAGAGCTGCTGAACTTGTGGTGACTGCTGACCATGCCATCTCCACAAATTTGGAGTTAGGCAAGGCTTCATTGCAAACAGCATCAGAGATTTACGAGTCCATAGGAATGCATGAGAAAGCTGCTACGTGTTATATCAAATTAGGTGACTACAAAAGAGCAGGTCGGACAACTCTTCGTAATTTCCTAGCTGTGTCCATTTGAGATTTCATCATATCGTAACGGTCTACAGATGGCAAGTTGTTCTAAAAGAGTTGCCTTATAAGTAAATGCCATCAAATCTCAAAATATTGTTTTGAAATGGTACCCCTACTTAAATTGCAGATATGCCAATTCTTACCTTTCATATGGAATGTTACCTCACGCTCTAGAAAACTGTCTGACTAAACATTGTGTTCCTTGCATTGCCTTAGGTACGCTCTACATGGAAAACTGTGGTACTTCTACTTCTAGACTTGAGGATGCTGGTGATTGCTTTGCTAGGGCTGAATGCTGGTCGGAGGCAGCTGAAGTGTTTTTCAAAGCTAAATGTTACACCAAGTGTTTCTCCATGTGCTCAAAAGGAAAACAATTATTCAATCGGGGCTTGCAGTTTCTGCAACAGTTGGAGGAGGAACATATGCTTGAGGATTCAAAATCCTTGGAGGTTTCTGCAATTAGATCAGAGTATCTAGAAAATTGTGCTCAACATTATTTTGAGTGTGGTGACATAAAGCGTATGATGCCTTTTGTTAAGGCTTTCAGTTCTGTGGATAATGTACAGGCATTCTTGAAGTCTAGGAATCTTCTTGAGGAACTGTTTAGTATAGAGATGAAAAACGGTAATTTCGTTGAAGCTGCAGGGATAGCAAAGCATAAAGGAGATGTCTTACTGGAGGTGAAAATGCTCGAGAAGGCAGATTTGTTTGAGGATGCAACGCGGCTTCTCCTCCTCCACATCATTGTAAATTCTTTGTGGTTTTTAAATAATAAAGGGTGGCCTCCCAAAAGAAATCTAGAGAAGGAACAGTTGCTTGCAGAAGCCAAAGAGATGGCGAAGAAGGTATCTGATTGCTTCTACGGCTTCGTTTGCCTGGAAGCTGATGCACTGTCAGATGTGATTAAGTCTCTTCCCGATTTAACTTGCACTTTGCTTGAGGGCAGAAAATGTGGGAACTTGTTTGTTAAATTTATTGCTTCCCGTTCAATTATTGATGTTCATCTTCAGTCTCGAACCTCTGGATACAATTTAGAGATAGGGCCAGGATCTGAAGATGAAAATAGTTGTAATAATATGCTGGCTTCTAATCAGATGTCACCCCAGACTCTGTTTAATGCCTGGAATCGCTGGAAGTCGATCATACTCAATGCACTATCTCATCTTCGCCACACTGATGGTCCAGAATTAAATGACTACACAGTTATGTATGAAGATCTTTTCGCCAAGTACTTTGGATTGAGAAAAGATGATGAAGTTGACAGATATGTGGTACTTAACATGAATGCAAGCTGGCTTTCTAATGCTGGCATAAGTTCTTTGCGGCTAGATGGCAATAGATGTTTACTGGATGCCCCTCGGTGTCATTCGTGTGCTCGGTATTTCTGGATGAATGAGATGTCTTCTGTTGGTTTAAGTGTACTTAAGAAGTTGGAGTCATTTGTTCAAATTTCTCCAAAGCCAGAATCTTTGTATACCCTGGTGAGAACAAACGTTATTATAAGTGAGATAGAAAAGTTTTTGGAAGAACCACAGTTCAGTATGCCAAAAATGAAGTTAAGAAACTTCTTTGTTCTCTGTGAGCGTCGCTTCTTTGAGTTAATATTTCTTGCGTGGAGAGATGGGACAACAAGGAGCCTCTTGCCTATACTTGAGTCACCAGCCGCATATGGATTGATTGCTGATTCTCTTAGTGCACACCTTCGGCGAACAGATAAAAATTTGACTCATGGGCATCTTGGGAGAACAACCATGCTTCTGCTTCATACAGCACAACTGGATGATGCGCTACTTTCTGTTAGAATTATTGTATAGGGATAGAAGAGGTGTTTAACTTGTATTCGATTCTATCTCTTCTTCTCTCCTTATCTCCTGTAACGACCTTCTCCTGGTCGATCTCTCTCTAACCGATCTCCCTCTCTCTCGATCGGTTCCCTCTGTAAACTTATGTGCCAAGGCATTGCCTCAATATATACACGCGGCCCGAGACAAAGGGTTCTACGCTTCCCAAACTATCTTACATGGTAACAGAGCCTCTTCCTCATCAGATCAAGAGAGATCGCATCTAGCTACCGTTCGCGACCGAGCCATGTCCACCACCGCCGCCTTCATGTCACCTAGCACCATGGGCGCGATCACCACCACCTCCTCCGCCTCCACCTTTGCGTCATCCTCCACAGCCACCAATACCTTCCTCGGATCGCCACCACAGGAGAAGCTGACGAGGGGAAACTTCCTCCTCTGGAAAGCCATCGTGCTTCCTCAGATCAAGGGTGCTCAGATGGAGCACTACCTTGATCCCACGAGCCCGCCACCGCCGCCTACCCTCACCATCACCAAGGAGGGCAAGGAAGAGCAAGTCGCCAACTTCGCCCGCACTCTCTGGTATGCGCAACAACAACAACTCCAAGGGTTCTTGATGGGTTCTTTTTCCCGCGAGATCTTGTCCCAGGTGGCCACGCTCCAGACGCCGGCCGAAGTATGGCGCACCATCAACACCATGTTCATCGCCCAGAGCCAGGCGCAGGCGATCAACACCCGCATCAAGCTCACCAACCTAAAAAAAGGTAACTTGACCATGGCAGAGTACCTCGGCAAGATCAAAACCCTCACCGATGAAGTCGCCTGCACCGCCTCGGCCCTCTCCGACCCAGAGATCGTCTCCAAGATCCTTGCCGGCCTCGACATGGAGTACAATCCAGTCGTCTCTGCGCTGGCAGCCCGAGTGGAACCCATCACGGTTCCTGAGCTGCATAGCCAGCTGCTTAGCTTCGACGCCCGCCTCACCCTCCTCCATGGCGGCGATCTTCGGCAATCCTCTGCATACTCCGCCTCCAGGGGACGTGGCCGTGGCCGTGGTCACCAGGGCACCAACCGTGGTGGCGGACGCGGCCGCGCTGCTTCCTCGGACGACGGTGCCCGCTCTGGTGGCGGCTACGGCAACAACTACGACGGCGGCTACGGCCACAACCACGGGGGTGGCGGCTTCAACTCCAACACTAGCCGCCGCAACCCTCCCTCGCGGCCTCGCCCTCGGTGTCAGCTCTGCAAGAAAGCTGGCCATGAGGTCATCGATTGCTGGCATCGGTACGATGAGAATTTTGTCCCTGACTCCAAACTCGTTGCAGCAGCCATGCGCGAGCAAGGCGGGGAGGGTGTCTGGTACGTTGACTCCGGGGCTACCGATCATGTCACAAACGAGTTAGAGCAACTTGCTCTACGGGAGACGTACCATGGCAACGATCAGATCCACACGGCTAGCGGTAAAGGTATGGAGATTTGTCACATTGGTCAAGTTTCACTTAATTCCCCTAGCCTGCAACGTGATCTTGTTCTTAAAGATGTCCTTCATGTCCCTCAAGCTGACAAAAATCTTGCCTCCATGTCTCGTTTAGCCACCGATAATGATGTTTTCTTTGAAACTCACCGTCGCTATTTTTTCATTAAGGATCGGGCAACGAGGGCACCTCTCTATCACGGTAGATGCGTCGGCGGCCTCTACCCCATCTCCTCCGGAGCCTTTAGCAACAAGCATCGTCGCGTCTATTCCGTCATCAAGCCCTCGTTCGAACGGTGGCATCAAAGATTAGGACATCCCTCTTCAGTCATAGTTAGGCAAGTAGTCAATAAACACAAACTTTCTTTGTCACATAGTTCAAACAATGAGTCTGTTTGTGAAGCATGTCAATGTGCCAAGAGCCATCGGCTTCCCTATCCTAAGTCTACTAGTGTGTCTCATGCCCCATTACAATTAATCTTCAGTGATGTATGGGGTCATGCTCGAGATTCTTTTGGTCGAAAAAAATATTATGTTAGCTTCATTGATGATTACAGCAAGTTCACATGGATTTATTTGCTTAAACACAAATCTGAAGTTTTTTCCATCTTCCAAGAGTTTCAGAAGCTAGTTGAGCGCCACTTCGATAGAAAAATTATTTCAGTCCAAAGTGACTGGGGAGGGGAGTATGAAAAACTCAACTCCTTCTTCCGTAGCATTGGGATCACTCATTATGTGTCTTGCCCTCATGCTCATCAGCAAAACGGTTCTGCTGAACGCAAACATCGTCATATCGTCGAAGTTGGTCTCTCTCTCTTAGCTCATGCATCTATGCCCCTCAAGTATTGGGATGAGGCTTTCATCACAGCTACATATCTCATAAATCGTCTTCCCAGTAAGGTCATTGGCAATGCTACTCCTTTAGAACGGTTGTATAACCAAAAGCCAGATTACAATTATCTCAAAAATTTTGGGTGTGCTTGTTACCCCAATTTACGTCCATACAATCGTCACAAACTTGAACTTCGTTCCACACAATGTGTTTTTCTTGGGTACAGTAATCTTCATAAGGGTTACAAGTGTCTTGAACCATCCACCGGACGCATCTATATCTCTCGAGATGTTATTTTTGATGAGACACTATTTCCTTTCTCCAAGCTTCATCCCAATGCGGGTGCTTTGCTTCGTGCAGAAATTGCACATCTCTCCGACTCTCCTACACGTCCTGATCACGGGGGTGAATTAACTGATCATGACCGTGTGCAAAAATCCAAAGAAAACTGTGTTTCTAACACATCTTGTGCAGATTCTACTTATCATTTTATGTGCACACAGGACAAACCAGGAACGGAATCTGATGCTGATCCTGCTGCCAGCGCGAGATCCGAGCCGGATTTGCGGCAGACTGCGGGCGTGCGATCCGATGCAGATCCGCCCCTGCGTCCTCTGGTGGCCGACAGCGGCGCAGTCGACCAGGCGGGCCGCGCC